AAACCGAATTTATGAAATTTAAATAATGCTTACCCATGCCTGTACATTTGGTGTGTCCTACACAAGTAGGAAAAGATGTGTATTTTATTAAAACATTATTATTAATTATGATTGCTGATCGTATATGTAATTTATCATACTGATGATGCCTGTAAACTGGCGTCTCTCATGTACAAAATGAGAATATACTTTTATTATTATATGAAATATTTAACTGTTGAAACATTATTAAATTGTAGACAATTTAAGATTTGACATTATAACATACTTGATCGTGCCGGTAAAAATGGCATGCATTTTCATGTAAATTTATGTTTATATGAAAATAAAATTATTATTATTATTACTTGCAGCACAAACCGTAGCTACACCGCAAAACAATGAACTAGATGCTGTCCCACTTGTATTCCACTCCCTAAATAAATTAGAAATAGGCAAATCAATGGGATCCGATGGCGTTCGTCCATGATTTCTCAGTGTCACCAGCTCCTACAATCAGCCTGTTGTCTATTAACTTCATGCCATATCTCTGGCATGCAGCGTTGACTCCCACTTAGAATGGAAGAACCTGAGCTCTGTATTCCAGTCTCGAAGTCCGTTAGTTTCACCAGCACCTTCATCCAGACGCTGGAAAGAATAATAATTTATATTTCGTTCAAACGGGTAAGTTTACAAGAAATGCATTCAAAAATGCAATTACGACATATGTGGAAAACAACAGCTTGTAATCCAGCGTGCAGTGTGATTCCCGGGTAAATCTGACAGGGTTGCGGGAGTGTGCTCTGATGAGCAGTACATGTAGATACAACAAAATATTAGGGTTATTCGGTGAAATATGTTAGGACTTATCCGGCTAGTGGTTCTGATCTACTGACTCCGAGGATGTGTGTCTTAACAGCACAAGAATGGAAAGCGAAACAAAATTTTCCAGTAGATGACTAATGTTTTCTAGAAGTACGATTCCTGACATCATCAGTTTACCATACGAAGGACTTAACAGACTAAATCAATTCTCGTTATAACACCGTAAACAAAGAGATTATCTAATCACTATATTCGAAATTCCAAGAAATAACTACGAACCTGGTTTATCTTATCTTTTCCTACCCAACAAGTAGGAACATTTCGGAGGACATAAAGGGGATTAGGGAAGTTGAGTAGGAACTCTGTCGCCGTGGAATACTCGTCTCCAATCTAGTCGCCATTGTGAAAGGGGTGTTTTATAGAGGATACATAAAAATCCATTCTTAGTACTGCCTGCAGACTGCTATTCTATATATGTAAAGTAATTTACGAGGAAGAAGGATTTTATACCGAATCAATGACTAAGTTAAAATTTATTATCTCATATGGAGGGAACTTGAAGTTTTTTTAATAATAATAATATAAGCTTTATTCCAAATCAGTACTTGTGATACAGAATGGAATTCTCAGCATTTTACTACAATATTGCATCCAGTTTTTACATTAACAATAAATAAAGTTCTACATAGATTAAAGTTATCTCAACAACATATTAGTATGTCGGTAGCAAAGCCAAAATTAAAGTGTTTGAAGGTGTTAGAAAAGTAGATACTACTAGCATATTTACTGGCGTAAGCGATAGCAAAATGGTCGAGGTATACAGAGTGGGAAGGAACGAACAAGAATGTTTTAAGTAGAGTTTGCAAGGAAAAGAGAAACAAAACAACACATAACAAAAGAAAAGGTAGAGAGAAAACGTTGTACCTGTAAATGATGTGAGTTGGAAAGACGAGATCCATTGTTCTACTGACTATTTAATAAGTTAAAGGTTTCACGCCTAATGCTTTCTTTATCGCACAGAACACGAGCTAAGTAGGGTGTGATTGAGTTTTTGTACTTACTAGTGCGAGCATATAGTTTCCTATATAGGCTTCTTGTTTTCCCTGAAGAGATACATGGGGAGAGTTGTGAATGTAGAGGGTGTTGTGAGTCAGATAAAATGGACTTCGCCCATTTTTCACATGAGTCCATGTGCCTGTCCACCAGAATGTTAACAAGCTGGCTAAGTGGCAAACTGCTTACCCTGCTGACAACCTTTAACATCCTACGTAATAAGGTATAGTCTTTCTTCAATAGCCCAGGAAAGACTAAGGGGGAGCAATAGAGAATAATAGGCAGAATACGGGAGTTAACAAATTGTAGGAGTAAGGGTTGGGTTACACCAGAATGTCTTAACTTCTTGATGTAGAAGGTAAGACGGTATATTTTCTTGGAAATCGTCAAGATATGAGACGACCAGGAAAGATCAGAAGATAGAGTGACGCCTAGGTATTTAATTTCCGACTTGGTTTCTATTTCACTGCCATCTATGTTGCACACCTCGTGAGTGCTAACCAGTTTGTTTAGGTCAGATTTATGCCTAAAGGTGAAATTAACTGTTTGGCATTTGGAGGGGTTTAAGGTTAGACCGTTTTCCTTGGACCATTGGCTAATTTCTGATAAGAAGCCATTTAGTTTAGAGCAGTCATTTTGACATTTGACAGGTAAAGATACAGTTAGGTCATCAGCATATTTGACAAAGTTAATGTCATTTGAAGACGGTAGGTCATGTAGGAAGAATGAAAAGAGAAGTGGGGAGAGTACAGCACCTTGGGGGACACCAGTCTCAGTGAGCACAGCAGAGGAGGATTGCCTTTGTATACGGTGTACTGCATTCTGTTTGAAAAGTAGGAATGCAACCAGTTAGTGACCCAGGACTCGGTTTGTGTCATGGAGAGCTTAAAAAAAAAAAAACTAGGTACAGAGTCGAAAGCAGAAGTAAAGTCAAGAAACGTGCAGCGGACATATTTGGCACCTTTGTCTAATGATGAGACAATACTGTTGTGTAAGACGGCTGCAGCGTCTAAAGTACTCCTACCCTGTCTGTAGGCAAATTGTTTGGGGTCTTCGAAGCTTTTAAGGGAGGGTTCGAGTTTAAGAAGTACTAGTTTTTCCATGAGCTTTAGAAACGGGGAAGTGATGGCAATGGGTCTGAACTTTACGTTCTTGCTATTTCCAGGTTTAGGGACAGGGACTATTTTAATGTCTTTCCATGGAACAGGTACAACGTTTTCGGAGAAAGAAGCATTTAGGATATTAGTTAGAGGAAAACATAAAGCATCTGCACATTGTTTTAGAACATATGCAGGTATGCCATCAGGGCCAAGACTATGTGAGGGCTTAAGAGTTTTAAGACATTTCAAAACATCGAGAGTATTGAAGTCCTGGAAGTTATCAGCTACAAGATTAGTAACGTTAGAAGTGGTTATAGTAGAAGGAGAGCGTATAAAAGACAGATTAAGAGCATTAACATCACAAGAGGGAAAAACATTACATCGCTTACTATTGCCAGTAATTTCATTGAAAAGTTTCCACATGCTGTTAGGAGATTTGCATGATAAAAGTGTTTGGTTATAGATAGCATTAAGATTTTTGATTTCAGATTTGATTTGAGCATTAATCTTTTTAAGTCCTAACTTGTCTTTGCATTTATATAACATTTCTTTTTGCCTGCGAAGTTGTTTGAGATGGGGAGACGAGAAGCGGTCGAGGCGTTTGAACAGTGTTTGTTTGGGACAGCATATGTCGAGGCAGAACTTGAGATAATCCATTATATTGGTGATTGAGTCATCTAATGTACTTTCATAGAATAGATCCCAGTTGGTATCTTTTAACATGCATCTTAGATTGAGTAAGTTGTCAGATGTGTAGCTTCTTTGTTGTGCTTTCGTAGACAGGTGTGAGAAGATTTTAATATGTGTTTTGCTGTATATTTTTGGCAAAACGCGGACAATGCAGTGATCGGAGTTATGTATCGGTGAACGTCTACGTGTTTCATATACTCCTTCGTCATTAGTAAAACCTAACGAGTGTTTTGTCAAGTCGAGTGGGAAATTTGACTATGTTTGTGTGACCAAGAGCTTCAAGAAAGGAGCAATCTGATGTGTTGAAGTCTCCAGTAATAACGGATAGAGAGTTGTCGAAGTTGGCAGCAGCAAACATGGTGAATTCATCAGCAAAATTAGATAGATCAGATGGAGAGCAACTAGGAGAAATGTACATGTTTGTAATATAGAATTGTTTATATTTGGGGAGATGTTTGGGGCGACATTTGACAGTAATACAGTCAATGAAGTCATTTGAGAAGGTGAAGCAGATGTTATTTGAGACAGACCATTTGGAGTGAATAAAAGTTGCAACGCCACCACCATTTTTCTTATTACAACATTGACGGTCTTGACGAAATAAAATAAAGTCCTTTAGTGAGATAAGGTTGTCATCATACAGTTCATGCAACCACGTTTCTTGTAATGCGATTATGGCGGTGTTATGATACGTATCAGTTGACATCAGGGATTGTAGGTACATTATCTTATTTGGTAGAGAGCGACAGTTTGAGTTCATTATGACGGGGACCGTAGTTAAGTGTATTGGTGTACGTTTGAGAGCTCTCTGCCAACCACTACGATGTTTCCTTCTTGGTTTCTTTGGAATATGAAAGTCATTTGGTCGTAAATGATTAATAAAGTTACGAGAGTAAATGATTCTGTTAGAATTCATATTTAAGTGATAAATGTATGCTGGTAAACAGTAAACTGGATGCAAAATGTAGATATTTTGGTAGCAGGCCCAAAAATTCGAACAGGCCGCCAAGGTCAAGGTCTTAGTGCCCCCTTCTCATTTTACAGGAATTAAGGCTGCCATATTTTGGTGTATAGTGCCCGAAATAGTGTTAGGTTTATTTCTGTCATTGCTCCTCACTTTTTTAGAATCGGCCTTACTATTCGTTGTGAATAATCGAGGTCCATCATATGGTGGAGCTGATGCGTTCCTCTATATAAAACCAGCACCCTGGGATTTCTCGGCACCGTTAAATTGTTTTTCACCGATTCATGGAAGGTCTGATTGAATCTTTTGGTTTGTAATGACAGGCGATAAAATTATTGAAGATTTGACATCACTTGTTCGGACCGTTTGGTAGCATGGCTAGGGTCCTAGTTGGCGGTAAATTCGAGGTAATTCCAAATGAACGGGGATTTAGTTCGTATTGGTATTTGGGGGTGGTTTTGGTGCGTTCTGATAGCAGTGGCATTGGGAGTATTTACTGCTTTCTTTCCAAACACAGAGCGTAAATGGGTACCACTAAAAACGCAAAGGATCACGCAAACATGTGTCTGAGTCGCGTGCTACTTATAACATGTGTCTGAGGGTGTAGTTCCAGAGATTTTTTTACAGTGTGTTCTTGCTTGGTGTAAGTTACTGAACTGAAACCTTGGGATGGGTCACTAAAGCTAGTGACCTCACCTGAAATGGTCAACGCAAATGATACTTCTTCCGTGTGGGTTAAATGCCAGTTAAAAAATGTTTGTATTGCTATTGGATGAGGTTATCAGTGGAAATCTATTCGTGCACTGCTGGGCATGTAGCATTTGGAATGGCCTCATTACTGCAACTTTGAAGTGCGGACAGTTCCGTGATATTGGTACTGACATTCTATTCCACAACTTGATTGGTTGTTACTAGGGGAGTGTAGGTGCCGCCGTCGTCTTAGGACTTGTGAAAACTGGTCACTGGTGGCTTTCAACTCACTCTCGGGTTCAGGCCCTGCTCCATCTGTTTCAGTAAAGACACTGCTGAATGGGTTCGACGCATTACTAAGCACAGATGTGCAGCAGTTCGAGTCGCCACACTCCACTCCATGTAGCACACAAAGCAAGAGGAGAGAAGTCCCAAAAGGGGAGAGATAATAAACATATATGAGGTAAAAAGAATATTAATATGGAAGAACAATAGAATTTTATTGGATATTATAAATCACAAAGATGCATCACATGGATGCATCTGTGCCAACCATTTAGAACGTGGATTTCGAGTTACCACCAAATGTCTCCAGCATTCATTGGTTTTACCATCTCGAGGACTCCAACCAGACAGCTAGCCAGTGTACACCTCACTACGTGACAAACTGGCTTAAACCAAATGTTGTGGACAACTGGCAATTAGCCTGATGCAGTAGAAATCTGTTTTCTTTCTGAGTTACTGAATTCCAGCTTGTGGTGACGTGTCAGGTTTCCACACACTGACATCGTGATCCGGAATATCAATAAACCTCACGAACGTATTATCTTTCACTTTTGTCGTCTGCTGTAGTAGCATTCTGTTCCTCACTAACCTCAGTATTTGACTTCTGGATTAAATATGAGAACATCCTTTGGAGTACAGTAAAATCAAACTGACAGCTTCGAATGCGATTGGAATGTAAGAGTTTTGTATCCCACCAAACGTATAAGAGAAGTACGATGGTCTTCTCCGTTCGATCAGCTGAAGTGACATGAAAGACCTCCTGGCGAGTTCTCATTGTGCTTTTGCAAAGTATTGTGTGACTGATTAGTTGTAAGATCGGAGCGAGTGACTGTAGGTGGAAATATTCTTGTCTGTAACGTCGCGAAATGATTATCTATGCTTGTTTACATCCAATAGCACTGTAATTTCGAAAAAGATGATGTAATCGCCTAAGTTTGTCTCTATCCCCATCACTTAGTTATCTTGTATTCAAAACAGACTAATATGCGATGGGTTTTAGAATATCTTTCATTGTATAGTTTGAGTTTGGGAAAAGTAGTGGTTTTTTCGGGAGGTGATGTCGAAGTCTCCAGGATAATTCTTCTATCCCTCATAGACACAAACGCACCCTATCCATCCAGTGTACAGAAACCATCAGGGCTTTGTGATATAGATGGGGGGGGGGGTGTTTCAGTTGATCAAATGATCGAGTTATCTTCATGGAGTATTTATTATAATTTATCTTATTTCTCTACATTTTTTTACAGATATCTTCACGTGACATGTAAAACAATGACTAGCAACGATAAAACTCCTATTGATGAAGGAAACACCAGTGAAGATAATCGGTCGACTACTTCACAAGATGGCGATCGTGGTAGTACAATTCATGAACATAATCCACATGCAATGGGAAAAAATATAAAGTAATCGATTGTTTTTACGGTTGGGTAATATAATTCTAATTTCATAATAGTGAATACCAAGCATTAATGAGTTTTATCAAAGGGAATATTGGTACTGGTATATTATCTATGCCAGTTGTTTTCAAGTATGCTGGTCTGTGGGTAAATATTTTTTTTGGTCTTATTATTACATATTTATGTATGTGTATTTTTAGACTGGATTCGCCATGTTAATAGTGGCTGGATTTTTATCAACTTATCTAATGCATGTACTGCTGAGAACAGCAAATAAAGCTCAAGTGAAGTATGTTTTAAGTTGTGTATCTATGTATCTACCTTATCTAATTCTACTTAAATTATTATTTGTTAGATATGGATGGGATAGATCTAAAATGGATTATGCAGAGGCGGTATTTGTTGTGCTTAAATATGGTCCAGAGAAATTCAGAAAAATCAAAGGGAAAATAAAGTATTCGTTTTTTTCTTGTTGATATAAATCTTGCATACTTTAGGCATACAGTTAATGGTTTCTTAATTGTTACACAAGTTGGTTTTTGCTGTGTTTATACACTGTTCATTACGGAGAATATTCGATATGTAAGTTTGTGAAGTGAATGCATAATTTTGATGTCTCTGTATAATTTCTTTTACTTTAATAACTTTAAAATATAGTGGTCTCCAAATGGCCTCGGATCTAGATCTTGTGCTTCTTGAGACTCGTCAACAAGGTGTATCTGCAATAATCTCATAGGAACTCATGTCGGCTGTGAGATTCTAATCTGTGCCACCCAGTTGTGCAGTCAGAGATAGACGTTACTACTGAGCTATTCGGGCTTGCGACTCACCTGTAAGACGTTGTTAGATGCTTTAATTGAACACTAATTAGTAACTCCTATTGAGTCTCAGAAGGGACGTGACCTCTTTCGATTTCAGACATGTCTAGCTGACGAGTTTCAGTAACGCATGGAACCCAGGTCCTAGGCTTCCTGTCAATGGCCTCAAACTGTCTAACAACGATTCATAGTGCCCTCGGGAGAGCCATATTGCAAACTTGTCTGGTAGAACTCAGTCTACGTCAAATAAAAAGGACTAAACTTATGACGCCTAGTTACTACCTAGTGTTCAATAGGAGTATAATATGACGTTGATATTCACTTAACTGGGGGCCACAATTATTATTGACTTTGTATAAAGCAAAGAAGGATCAAAACATGAGAACATTCCCCAACGATCAGGTATTTTTGTACATTGTTATTACTATCGATAATAATAAGTTTCAATCGATCACATGAGTGAGGCCTGTCAGTTTTTCCAAATTTGACCAACATATAACATTTTTAAGGATTTTATGTCGAGAATTTGGTGGTGGGGGGGGGGGTAAAGTTTTGTAAATGGTTTTGTAAAACTAAACGCATTAGAGTTACATTAGTTTACAAAGCTGGAATAACAATTTGTGGTTTTAAAATCATTGAAACAATATTACTTATAATAATATCATAATTAAATGCTTAAATATGATTTCGTCACCCCTCTCATTTCTTTGGTGGAATGTACATCAATAATGAGTCGATAAGGAGTAGCTCTTAAATTTTAACCCGTGAACTGGACCACTCGTTTGTCTAAAAGCACTTACTCGTTGCTCTCCCATTTCAAAAGATATATCTATTTCACGCATACTTCGTACTGTGAACAACCTTAGCATAAGGAATGGTCTGTAGTGTGATTCTCCAACAGTGGCGAAAAGGTGACACCAGATTGATGTTCTTTCTGGTTAGTCAGCTTCTGCTTCCACTAAAGCGTTTTTGTAGTACTTGGTTGTATAGTGTGAACTTATCCAGCGGGAAGCGGTCAATTATTTCACTATGGTTAGTTGTTTGTATCGCTAAATTTTTGTGCTACATCAATATCCATAAATGTTTTTTGAAAGTAAATACATTGTGGACAGGAAAGTCTTCAAGTGTAGTACTCTGAATGTGACACCACTCATTCTAACCAGTTGCTCTGTTTCGACACTGGAATTAGCTCCGTGCTTGTTGCTCATTGTCAGCAAGGTGTGTCTGCAGTCTTGATGGAACTCATGTCCCTCCTTAGATTCGAGCCCGTGCCAATCAGTGCTGCAGCCAGAGAGGTTACCGCTGAGCTACTCTGACCGCTGATTGATCTCATGTAGGATGAATACTTTGAATGGATACTAGGAAGCACCTTACGTCGTTCGCCTAGTCCTTGGTATTAGTGCAGACTGAATTCTATCAGGAAATTAATTACTACCTAGTGTCCAATCAAAGTATCCATTATAGTTCTGCAGGAGGTCATTCGTCAACCTGAATAACTCAATGGTAACGTCTCTGACTGCAGCACTGGTTAAGTCGGGTTCAAATTTCATTGGGGGTATGAGTTCCTTCAAAATTTCACACATGCCTTGCTCACTATTGAGGGCCAATAAGCACGAAACCTAGGTCCGAGGCATTCTGCCGATTGCCCCCAATCATTTAACAAAGATTCACGGTGCACTCTAGTGGTGAACCACATAGCATACTGGCTGCACTGTAAACTTGACTGGTAGAATTTAGTCTGCGCTAAACAAACGACTAGACGCACCACAGTTACTCCCGGCTATATATATATATATACATATCGTGTGGTGTTTGTATTATTTCGATCATAGATGTAATTCTCTGTGAGTAAATACTCATGTTTTCTTTACATCAGTTTGTGCACCCGTTTTGTTTAGAATGAAAGCATTTCACCCCAATGTTTTAATGCACGAGATATGTGAGTTGAAACCTGTGGGGAGACGCATCTCACTAGTTTAAGCACTCAGGTTTCAGTCATTGGGTCCTGGGTTCGAATGCTGTTCCGTCCACTTCAGTCGCCTGTATAGCATCGTCAGCCTTCATACAATATGCATGTGCTTCTAAAACTTGTACATGAAAAATCTTTCCTGGGTAATTGAGTTAAAACAAGCATTGAGTTTAGATCTTTGTTGATTAATTAGATTTACACACTACATACTACTCATAAATTGTATAAAACATTCCATAATCCTTTCATTTAAAATTTTTTTTATTTTACAGTTTTTAATATATTTCTTTCCGCGCCTTAATACAAATATCTACTTAGTTGGATTTGTTGTCTGTTTAGTGCTGATTGTAATGAATTTTAAAAGTAGTATGCGTGTAGTCACGTATTTATCTGCTTTGGCCAATATATGCACTATTGTTGGTATGCTATTAATATTTGGCTATTTATTCACATCTGGATTATACCCAGTCAGTAAATTTCCAATTATCACTGATTTCAAAGGTCTACTCATTGCATTCAGTATAGTTATGTTTTCATTTGAAGGGATAAGTTTGGTAAGTGGAATTGGTGTTATTATTATTATTATTATGCCGTTATTAGATGATTTAGTTTTCCTCTTACAAGTTGATTGTTCTTTACAGGTATGTACATGTAGTCAGGCAGATGATCAGGAGGAGGGCTTTACGTGCTTTTGGAAGTGTGTAGGGCGACTCTTACTTCCCAGTTGCCTACACTGTGGAAGTTAATTTCTTCTTGAAATACGTAAAGAAGGGAATTAGTATTGTGTGACTGCAGAACTCCGGAGATAGTTGTCTGAGGCTGCTCATACGTGGCCTTTTTGAAGTGGTTTTAGGAATTAAGGTTCATACTAATGTCTTACTGTCAGCTACGCGTCGTCTCAAGGTAAGTCGGAATGCGCGACTTTTTGGGTCGACTTTTTGTAAGTCCTCCACTTCCTCCTAATACCAGCATCTGAAAAAATCTCCTACTGCAGTTAAATCCCTATTTCCCAACCGTACGACTTTGCTCACAGACCCGCAACATAGTGTAAACAAAATCCATTTTGATGCTAACTGCTTTCAGTTTTACCGTTATTAAAGCTGCTCTCACGAACATTAGTTCCATCCATGTATCTCGTTGGGCTATTGAGATTAGTCAGCCTTACCACCATGTGAAGGTAGTAACTCTGTCGGAGTGTATGTACTTTGATTATTATATTATTATTATTTCCTTTAATTCCTAGAGGAACATGGGGGCTTCAGTTGCACGTCTCCATTGCGTTCGGTTCTCTGCTAAAGTTTTCACCTGGCTCCAAGTCTGTCCACATGCTTTCATCTCCTCTTCACATGACCTCCTCCAAGTCACCCTCGCACGGACGACCAACTCGCCGCTTCCCTTTCGGGTTCCACTCGAGCAACGATTGTCTAGTGGTGTCACTTACGTGATGGTTTCCTCAGAGTATGGCCAATCCACTTGCATTTCTTTCTGCTTGTTTGTTGCACAGTCGGTTCCTTCTGGGTTCGTTCATTCATTGCAAGAGATCCCTGTTGCTGATGTTTTCTGACTGGCCATCTGATCTTGAGTAGTATTGAGTGAAGACGGTTGCTGATGAAGGTCTGTAGTTTGTTTTAGGTGCTCTTCGTGACTCGTTGGCCAAATCTCTGATCCATATATATTAGCAGTGAATTTACATTGGGGTTCAAAATCCGAATCTCATTTTTCATCCTGAGTGCTGTTAACCTCCACACAGACTTAAGAGTAATGAAAGCTTGTCTTGCTTTCCCGATCCTCGCTGCTTTGATATCCTCATATAGTTTGATTAGGTGCATACATTTGTTTGCTTAGCATCAGTGGTTCAGAAGTAGAATACTTCCCAAACCATCCACATAGTTTGGGTTCGATTGGCGACTGATGCATTTTTAAACCGCCCAGTTTACTAGACAGTAGTAAGTAGTAATCTGTGAAAAGAGGGAGGATGAGATTGTAGACTAGCAACCCGATTCTGTAAGAACAACATGATGGTTACTGAAATTTCAAAGCCAAAAGCATGTTGGAAGCATATGGAACACAAAGAAATGAGAGAGATGACGTGTTCAGTGTCATAGTAGATTGCTACAGAAAAAGAAGTGAAGCAGTGAAGATAAGGTTTAAAAAAAACATCTGAGCTATTGGGATTGATTATGAGTCATATCACCGATAGCTGCTACCTTGATGTGGTGGTCATTTCATTCTACTAGTCGATGACTGTATGCATTGGTACGTGTTTTGATCTGGTCACCCGTTGTTTTATTCTAGTCTATAAACGCATATGCATGTTTGACATTTTCGTTTTCTTTATAGTGATTCAGTGTTTTTGACATTATCTAATTAGCAGTAATCTTTCTCTAGCTCCACGATTGCCCATCAGCTCTCATCTCATACCATTTCTGTGTCACTCTCGGATGCCCAACTAGTCATTTCTCATTTGAGTACCTGGCTTGAGGTCTTCTCAGGTTGTGTTCAATCCATCCTAATTTTCTTCTGAGTATTTGTTGGGCGATTGGATGTTGGTTGGTTCGTTTCAGAGTTCTTCCATATCCTTGCATATCCTTCTGGGCTATCTAATTTTTAGTATGAAGTGAAGGTAGATGTTGGTAAAAGTCTGCAGCAGCCTGTTGGAAGAGCTTTAGGTGACGCGTGAAGTCCCTGAACCAATTGACGAAAAGCATTTCCGACAGAGTATTCTTTATCTACCTTTGTGTAGTATATGGAGTGACAGGTTGAACTCCACTTCTGACTGAGTCATTCAGTCAGTCAGTCAACGAATTAGTAACCAATATTAGTTTGTAATAAAAATGACCCCCTTTTTTCGTTTTAACATCATCACTCAGAATTGTCTGAAACTATCTAGAGAAGTTCAGATTTCAACTATACTTCATTATATTTTCAACTTTGTCGATTTGCTAACCTCAATGAGGATCATATTATCACAGTGTCACACACCTCAGAAGGGATTTCCAAGTTGGTGTGCGTGTGAGCTTGTCTGTTAAGTCCTTTGAACATTGCATTTTCGAAAAGAAAACATATTTCATCACCTACACACATAATAGCTTGATTTTGTTTGACGAAACAGTGCTTATTATCCTTCCTACAGCTAAGAATTTATAAAGTAGCTACTAAATCAAATTCCATGTAGTTGTTGCGCAATCGGCCTCATGAATCATTTCTTTGTATTGTTACAAATGTATCTATCTGTGGTTGTATGTGACTTACGTTTATATTAAATTTACAAATTCAAGACATATACATTAAAGGCATATTCGTGTATGAGTTCATCAGCTTAAGAACACGTCATGTGTAGTCTGTGGGTTCGTATCGAATTCTCTGATTTCAATTGTATTATATGTATGTGTATATTGTTATTTTCTAAGCCTAAGTTTTTGTATTATTCTGTGTACATATATATATATATATATATATATATATATATATATATGTCAGTCGACTGTAGTGTTATACCACGTGATTATTTACGTCATATTCTGAGAGCTATAACTACATTTTTCGCGTTTGTATACTTGTTGAATAGGATGCAATTATGCATAATTTATATATATATATATGTATATATATATGCCAAACTATCGATTATGTTTAAACTTAGAAGTATAGGTAGGAGGTGTCTCATACATCCATTCTTCCTATAAAATGCCGTAAATTATATCTCTATGGGTTACTCAATGTTGGTGATTGACTGACTTACTGGTTTCAACGTAGAACTCTTCACAGATGTGCAACAGTTCGAGTCGCCACACTTCCTCGGTGTACCACACAAAGCGTAGAGAACAGAGTAAAGAGAGATTCCAGGGACGGAGAGATAACAAACAGAAGTGTAAGTGAGGCGAAAAGAATAGTAATATGAAAGAACAACAGAATTTTATTGGACATCGAAAATCACAAAGAGTGAATCTGTCAACCACTGAGAAGGAGGATTTTCAACCACATCACCACCAACTGTCTCCAGCATTCATTGGTTTTCACCATTCCGAAGACTCCAACCTAACAGCCAGTCAGTCTACACATCCCTTTGTGGCTGGCTGGCTTAAACTAACTGTTATGGACCTCATTGACTTATGAAGCTACGTTTCGGTTTGACGAGCACCACCACTAGCTCTTTTCCAAACATGGCCCATTCAATGTCAGCTAACACTGCCCATTGAGGAAGGCCGATGGTGGTTAGGTATGCATGTGTAAGACATGTCCTAAACCATCTCAGTCGGTGTAACTTCAACCTCATAGATTGATTTCCCCTCCCACTTACCTAGTACTCGACCGACGCCTACCCTCAATGTTGCCCGCCTTATTATAACAACACAACACGGGTTGTAGAAAGAAAGCTAGCTAGCCTTAACATGTCTTTCATTTTCAATGGTAGTCTCACAGTACACACATGCTTTGGTCGACAACCAGCCGTATATCATGTCTACTAGGCCAGAGATGGCGTAAGTTGGCCCATAAATGCCAAACGGGCCTTCTGTATCCATGCTGAGATTTCGTCAGCGATCAACCCAACGGCGCTAGGGTTGGCTGACTCAACTTCCCAAATTAGTGAAGTGGTCAACACGCCCCACCAACCACTCTAGTCTCTCTTTCAGCTAAGAGTGAGTGAGTCGATGTAGTCGAGTCTTGTAGTCTCACCATCTTACATTCGAAGATTGCTACTCAAGGTGTCCAGAAGACTCTGCATTTTGTCAACGTCTTCATGCAAATGGGCGAACTATGTCATCTGCATATGCCAAGTCAACGAGACTAATATTCCGTAGTGGTAGCACATTGATCCCCGAGTAGCTAAAGTCAGTTAGAGTTAAGTCCATTAGTACATTACATGTGCAAGTCTGTCTGGACTGTTGAATGTTTTAACAGTAGGATACTCTAGACTTTAGTGTACATGCAATACAAATAAACATCTTTTTAATTAAGATTGATTACGTAATGATTAACCTTTATTGTTTTGTAATATCTCTCTATGGAATCTTGTTTTAATTATCTGATGTTATTAAGAAAGCACCAGAAAAGTAAAACAAACATACAAGTGATTCCGATATTAAATGCAGTCTGTCTGAATGGTTATTTAAAGGATATATAACCATTTCGTTCCAGCTGCTACACATACATACATTCACACATTTATATTGCACTAATTTTGTTTATTAATATTACATATTATGTAACAATGGTAAATCTTAAGTTTATTTGTTTTTTTAAAAAAAGCGGTGAGTATTTATTTCTTAAGTGATTTTCACTTTTTGTGTGTGCTTGTGTGTGTATGTGTGTATTTCTGTACTCTTCATTAGCAGGAGTTAAACATTGATGTGTAGATGTAGATTATTATTTTTTTTCTAGGGATTTGGATTAATAATTTCAATGTAGATTTTGTCACAAAGCAACATCAGTTAGGGATCAAGACACTGGAGTACGATTTCATCCTAATTTGGGGCTTTTCAGCAGTGCACACTTATGACTTTACGGCTAGAGGTCGAATCTAAAACCTTCAGGTTACAAACATTTATCCACTTAGGTCGGAATTCGATGACTCATCGAAGGTATTGCTTTGGAGGGGGAAAGGGGTTAGCGCTACATGACACGCGAACTGACAGTGTTAGAATTCACCGGTCTCATTGAATTCGCTGCCCAAGCGATTGTGACTGGTCGACGAGATTAGAACTGTAAACTGAAAAACCCGCCCCTCCAGTCTTTGAAATTGGGATCGAGGATGTGCACTGATGAGGAGTTGTAAAAACTCCGGCGGAATTGATATTTTCACTGATCGCTGTAACTAATGTTGCTTCGTAAAAGAATGTACACTGAAAGCAATGTCATATGTGCGGTAATCAGGTTTATTATTTCTCCCTTATACAAAGAAGATTATTGTACAATTTTGTGAAAGTGAAGTCATCCAAGAAGATAGATTTCGTCATTATGTGTGTGTGTGGAGATTTGTCAGGTGTACTTGTCTGTTTTTTTTGCTTTCAAGCTTTAAGTTGCCCAAATGAATTGGCTAATCGCCAATTCAATTCTGGCTGGTTTTACACGACAGTATTGCGAACTTGATGTGTTATGTTTTTTTCCAGGTATATATCAAGTTAAATTTGAGTATTAGTCAAATTGAAAGTCATATTAAAATGGATTTTTCATTCAGTTATTACTATTGTGTAATTGAGTTATAAGGTCTCCTAAGGTTGCGCATTCGAATTCCTCTGGGGGACGGTGAGGTGTTCGTCTACTTTTCGACACAGACACATCTATACATGTCACTAACGGGGTCACCGGGAACTGCCGCCGCCCAAAACAACATCAGCACTAAGACGTGTCTACAAATGAACTGCTCAGGATCCACATCCATTGCATAACACTTATGAATGGTCTTTACTATTGTCACCAAGTCACACTCACTTCTGTGCGTTGTAGGTTCAGTGATTGAATATATGTTGGCCTACCATGGACGCAGTCTGGGGTTCAAGTGTCAGTCAACTCATTCCTAAACCTCAATTAGCTGGTTGTGAGCCCGTAAGCGTGAATCTAGCAATCCCATCTCGTGAAAAACCCCACTGCTACTGAAACTTCAGATCTCAAGCTCGAAGACGTATGTTTCACCTCTAATGCGGTGTAGTATTTCAAAGATACATTTATAGAATACTGAAATTGACGCCCATTCACACTATTAGTAGTTATGTTGACAAGAAAGATAACATTCATATTTGGTATTTGTGTTAATGACGCTTTTCTGTTTTATCTCCCATCCCCACCCCTGCACCCCCACCAATATTCAAGGTATTACCAATTCAAAGTAAAATGGCTGATCCTACTGGATATGGATCATGGTGTGGTGTTCTTAATGTTGGAATGATTATTGTTGTTTGTTTAAATTTGGCAATTGGATTTTATGGATTTTTAAGATTTGGTGAAAATTCTGAAGGAAGCATCACATTGAATATACCTCAGTTTCCTTAGTAAGTCGACTCTTTTAGTTTACATTATTTGTTTTTTTTGTAAATTAATGCTTACATTTCTTGTTGATTGATAGTATATTTATATATGACCGAAGTGTTCGATCTGTGTTGTCGACATGTCACCTGTTACTATGGATGCTTTACTGATGATATTATATTGGGGGATGGTAAATGGCAATGGAACCTAGGGCATACACATATCGTCCTATTTGATATTCATCAGCTATCTATAGCTTTGGTGTTTGAAATGATAGATGCTAGGTTCCAGTCTCAATGGAAACATCATTGCTCATAGGGAATTGCAAGTAAATTCAGATGACGAGTCCCAAATAGGATGAAATGCACTTTTGCCCACCGAAACATTTGTTAGTTTCCCTTTCATATTCCGTTTTCTTGAGTTATTTTTATTAACTAGCCACGTTTGTTTCTTTCTCATTGTCAAGTAATCCCATCTATTTTCAGTTACCTCTAATAGCCTATATAATCAGTCTCATGTGCTGTCCCATGATCTCGTTGGGGCCATGCTGATGAAGGATCCCAAAGAAGGAGGACGAAACAGGCGTTCAGTACTCCTTGGTCTTCAGTAGTCGTCTAAATGATGTCAACTCGTGATCTAGCTTTAGGTCAATAAAATCCCTGGACACCAAGAGTTGCAACACACGAAATCTCAGTTTGTGTGAGGCCTGTGATACTACCCCGAACATCTGCGGTGAAGTAGTTGACTGTCTTAAGAGGTCCCTTCTGCGAGCCTTTGATTTGAATTCTTACAAGGCAACGGAGCTGCGTTCCTTTGGTTTCCGGTGACCAAATCAAGTTCCCATGCACCATTCGATCTGTTGTGATTTTGCAGCTGATGCACACCATAGGTCTGGAATCAGAGTTTTGTAGCTCCCCTGGCCCGGTTGTAAGCCCCAGATATTCGAATTAACCTCTTTGCTACTGCGGGGAACATCCCCATCTCTGCCTGTGGCAGTGAATAGGACTTACGTGGTGGAGACTATGATGGCGTGGCCACAAGAGAAAGTTTTCCGACCCTACCCACCCGTACCAGGTCGTTTATTCTTGATTTTTTGATTTCAGCTTTATTCCACACCGTATTTTTTGGGTATAGGTATGGAATTTTCAGCATACGATATCGGTAGCCCAAATTTTGCAGGCCGGCCATAGATATCAGTTGTATGTCGGCAGGGGATCGAATCCCGGACCATGTGCATGATCGGCAAGAGTCCTAACCACTGTGCCACCGACGCACAAATACGTATGTGTTTTTTCAAGAGTTAGTTTGTGGGGATTCGGTTTATTTCAGGTTTGATTGCGCACTGATATCAGTTAGAGAATCGTTGGGAACCAGGGAGTACTGGACAACTGTTTCTTCCCAAATAGGGTTTCATCACCGATGATGTCAGTTGATTGGTGTTCACGCTAAAATCATTCATTGGTAGAATTTAGAATTCATAGGCCATTTAATAGTTGTAGCCCATTAGTTGTAGTTGGTCTACAAGCTTGTGTGCTGTAACCCTAGGGTACTGTTTTCGAGCCTTGGTGACTGTGTATTTGTGTTCTTTATTACTTATGGATGAAGAAAATGGGGGAAAATTCCGCGAAGAAAATTTTTGCTATCGACAGAGTTATCTCCGACTGCTTTACAATCGAACGTTTGGGTATGTTCGCTAAGACGCTTAGCAGTCTGTTATTGACACGATTACTCAGAATTGGTTTCCAAGGACAAAAAGCAACAACGTAAGTCAACGATATAGTAGGAGTAAAGGCTTGAAGTTTGATAAGGTGAACATCGTTATCAGTATAAGAAGTAAAGTGATTAAATGTCCACTTAACAACTGTGGGGTAGGTGAGCAAAAACTTAATTGTACAAAATAAACTTATGAGAGTGATGATAATGAAAAATAGTGCTATAGTAGAATAAGTGGTTAGGGTTATAGTGACGAATCTCCTACGCCATACACAAGTGTCAAAACATAACACACCCCGTTGTATCATTCGGGGTCACATTTTAAATAATTTTTAAAGACAATTTTGGCGGGTTTACGTTGTGGCTTGCCTTTATCATGTACTCAAGAAGTGAACTAATTAGTTGTTTTGTATCGTTTTTCTTGGTATTTATACTGGATAGTTGGAGGATTTCGTCATGAGCTGACATTGGTTAGAGAACCATTGGAAAAACAGCTGGGAATGCTGGACAACTGTTTCGTTTTGGTTTGGGACTCTTCATCAGTGAACACCCACCGCCAAGATTCGGACCACAGGACCTTCTGGTTGCAAGGCGAGCTAGCTCGTATACCATTAAGCCACTGGGGCCCGAACCAAATGGGCCATGAAGTTAGAATTCATGAATCACCGGGTCGGGTCCCAGTGACTTGATGATCTACGAGCTTGCCTTGCACTCATAAAGCCCTGTGTTTCGAAACTTGTCGGTGGGTCCGCACTGATGAAATGTCCCAAACCAGGACGAAACAGCTGTCCAGTACTCCCAGCTGGTTTTGCAATGGTTCTGTAACCAATGTGAGCTCATGATGAAATCCTCCAACCAATCAAACAAACTCCCTACAGAACCAATGCTTGTAAATACCGGATAGTGTTTCTTTTTATCTTTACAACTAACTAATGAGTAATTGTGTCAGTTGTGTTACACACACACGCACCTCTACTACTCAATAATAAGCTGCTATACGTTTTCAGCACATTACAAATATGTTGAAGGAAATTTTCTTCCCTTTATGACACAATGAGCATGTGAGAATACATTTCAGATAATAGGATTTATGGAGAGTCGGAATTAATTTGAATTGTTAGATTTTGCGTCACGAACCTACATCGGTTAGGGAAAATCATTGAAAAATACGGAGCACTGGACGCATATCTCATCCTGTTATGGTGGTCAGTAGTGAAAACACGGCATCAGTCAGTGTAATCCACAACAATTAGTTTAAACTAACCAGTCACGTAGGGAGGTGTAGACTGGCTGGTTGTCTGGTTGGCGTCCGGGGAATGGTAAAAACCAATGAATGCTGGAGACAGTTGGTGGTGATGTGGTTGAAAATCCTCCTTCTCAGTGGTTGACAGATTCACTCTTTGTGATTTTCGATGTCCAATAAAATTCTGTTGTTCTTCCATATTACTATTCTTTTCGCCTCACTTACACTTCTGTTTGTTATCTCTCCGTCCCTGGAATCTCTCTTTACTCTGTTCTCAACGCTTTGTATGGTACACGGAGGGAGTGTTGCACATCTGTGAAGAGTTCTATGTTGAAACTAGTCAATCAATGATCCATGAATTCGAACTTTGTCAGCTCATGATATAGCGCTGCGCTTGTTAGTTACTTCACTGAGAATCTGCTTCCCCTTGAAACTGTGGACACCACTTCAGCTTCGTGAAATTTATTCAGTAGCCGACAATGAGCTGACGATTGATGTTCAGGCTATAGGAATTATGGAGATTTTTGATTAATTTCAATTGTTATAATTTCCCCTTGAAGCAACTTCAATTAGGAAGCTCGGTATCATAATCTGAAGGTTGTCGATTTTATCCTTGGTGGAGTTATGAGTGCTCACTGATTAAGAGTCCTTAAAAAGGACTAGACTGGTGTGCAGTGCTCTCTGGTTCTCACTGATCTTTCTAAGGGATGTTGTTTTATGACGAAAATCTGACAGTTCAAATAATAAATTTGCCACAAAATTTTTCAACCTTAGTTTTGGAATCATCAGAAAACCAGCGAGTATTAAGCAACTGTTTCGTTCTTACTAGTGACTGGCTCTGTACAGAAAGTTACAACGGAGTTCTTAGTGAGAAGTCCATCAAATCAGATACTCGCTTAAGACATTGACTGGCGGCTGAGTCACACATAAGTTGCGAATTGCCGGAAGTTAGAATTCATGGGTCATTGAATCGTGTCCACGAACTCGCTATGCAACCTAAAGGTTATGGATTCGAACCCCTGCGGGTAGGTGGGTGGGTGCTAATGAAAATGGTATACCTTGGATACGAAATGTCTGTGTCCGTACTTCCTGGTGTTTCCATTGGTTCTCTAACTGGTGACAGCTTGTTACCATACCTGCAATCGATCAAATCCGTGCACACCCACACTTGTATTTCTTTTATTCACTCATTTCATCTTATCTACATGATGAAATGACCCAATAAATTTGTTACTTCTGATTACAAATGTATAAAGGGCGTAGAGAATCTACATGTAACCATCACCACCACCACCACCACCAGAGACTCCTTTACATTGTTCTCATTGTTTTCCACTTAAGTGAAGTGTGAATAATTTCTTTGAAGTTTTATTTATCTAACACTTTTCTGCATTCAGTTATTTTGTTTGCTTGCTCTAATGCCTCTAATGTATGCAATAAGTTGTATCAAATGACAATATTTCAAAGTTTAATCTAGTTCGGTACAAATTGAACTCTGCATGAAAACAAAGCGAGATTAAAGGGTATGCTATATACTACTACACTCTGCCAAGTATTATCTTTGATCAGTGTAATTCTGTCAATTTATTGTTAATTCTCATGTGGGTAAATTGTATTTCAGTAGGCATAGCGGTTAGGACGCGTGCCGACCATGCACATGGTCCAGGGTTCGATCCCCGGCCGACGAGGCACTCCTTTACCTCGCTAAGCCAGAAATAATACTGGTAAAGAGGATAGATTGGGCATGAGGCAATCAACCCCATCCTGTAAAAATTAAACACTGCTACAGAAACTTCAAGCCACTAGCTTGAGGCCCTATGTTCCACTGGGGACGCGAAGAAAACAAAGGCACTCAACAAGGTTTGGAGCCTGCGACCTCCTATTTACAAAGCAACCTTGTAGACCATTCAGCGACTGCGACTTTTATTCAGTAGTAGTGGTCTATGAATTCCTATTGCTACCAGTACGTGACTGGCACTAGGCAGTGTCATCAGTGTCATCATCAGTCTATTTTCAGCTTGATTATAAAGGTGAAAACATTGCGGCAATGGTCAACAGAAGACTGAG